CATAACCGGAATTTCCGGCATTTTACAATACAATTTTGTGCTCTGTTGCAACTTTAGGCACGAAATATATTATTTGTATATTATTACGTATTAATAATAATTCTATTTTAAATCACACCATGGTGCATATTATTTCTATATTTAACAAATAAGTTGTTAAAATTTCGAATTATAATTAGAAATTATAAGGTTAGAAATTATAGGCTAAAAGTCTGTGTTAAAAATAAAGTTAATGTAAAAGTTTTTTGGGACGTTGAGAATTTTTGCTTAGAAAATAAAAGTGTTAATTACTTGACTAGTTTTTGAGATATTGCAAATGTGGTGTTAAGCACCACTGGTGTGATTTAAAAAAGCCGATTTCTATTTTATTACAAAAATAATTCATTTAATCTAATATACACATCGAAAAGTTCTGTATTTTATACAAAGTGTTAATTTTATACTACAGTCAAGTATCGATGTAATGAAAGTGTTATTTGAGTAGAACTTTAGAAACAGTGTAGTCAAAAAATTACATTTATAACTTGCGTTTTATTATACGTAATTTTAAATGATAAAATGCATCTTAAAAGAGATGCAATCTAGATATATTCCATGCTAAAAAATAACAATATAAACATAGACTATGTTAGCTATGACAGACTAATATGTAAAAAATCCACTAATCTCTAAAAAAAGAAATAAATTTAAGAAAAAAATGTTCATATAAAGTTGTCTTATCATGTTTTAAATTATGAGTAAATTACGATTAAATAATTCAATCTTTTTTTTAAAAAAACAAATTAAATTATACTAGCAAACCAATTTGGCAAAACTTTTTTTACCACATCTTTATCAACCTCAATCATTCTTTCATTATCAACTCTTCCGATAGAATGGCATCCACTAGTAAGGTGTCTACAAATAGCATCATAACTGTGTAACCTCTTAGATGACTTCCAACAAAGTTTACAAACAAACAATTCTTTGTCTTCATCATCAAATTGTTTAGCTGCCAAATTGATACATCCTTTAACGGTTGTGAAAGGACCGGGACGATTAATTTTGGATTTCTTAATTAATCTACGGGCTTCTTTGCGAAGTCTTGGAATTAAAGTTTGAATCAAGAATTCATCCGTCCATGGAATTAATGGATCATTATTAACAAATGGAGGGTTACAAAACGAAGGGCACCAATGAAGACAGTCGATAACCGGATCAGATATGTAAATTTGATATCCAGAACCTGGAGGAGTATTTATAGCACAAGAAAGTGTATCATAAGAAGTGATAAGAGATAAAATCGCGTTCGTGACTTGTTCGAGTCTCACAGTTTTCTTCATTAATTCTGTATACTCATTTTTCAATCTTAAAACAAATGTTGGCCATGGATTTGTCATGAATGGAATTCTATAAACTTCTTTTGCTTCCATGTAAGAAGGTAATTGAACTATATATTTTTCTTTATAAGGTTTTAGCCCTCTTTCGTCCTTTGATTGTTTAAACTCCTCGATCAACATTTTAAATGTTCTCATATCTTCTAATGATTTCTTACGAAGATATAATTCATCAAGCCTTTCACGTTTTTGGACATTTGTTAAAATTTGGGCAACCATGGATTTTTTCTTTTGAATCCAGTTAGCACGATGTTTAGGAGGTGTTGATATGAATTCACGACGCGCACTTTCTAGATGCGAATTTAAATAAGCCATAATTTTTGCACCTGTAGTAGAATTAAGAACAGGAACATTTTCATAAGGTACAACTGTCGTGATATCGATTGGAGATTTTGCCCATTGAGGAAGATTATCAGGACTGCTTAAATACGCATAAACAAAATAATTAAGAGAATATATAGATAATTAAAATCGTTTAATCATTGTTAAATAAAACAAAAAAAAAAACAACAATGAAATGAAAATATTAATATATTTACGTGGTAATTCTTTTCCTGAGACAAGAACAGCAACAGCGTACACGAAAAGCCCAATATACTTTAGGGGTTTCCGTCTTTGCACCACAAAATTGACACCCACGTTCCAGCATGGCTAATTTAATATAGGTAATCTCATCTATGCCAACAGGTGGTGGTCTTGGTAAATAAGTTATAAATTTTGTTCGAGAAGTTCTCCAAATATCTGTGGTAATATGTGATGAACTTGAACGTAACCAATTTCTAAATTGTTTACATACACCAATAAGCGCGAAGAGAGAATTTGGTGGTAAATGATAGCATATTTCTATAAAAATATCAAGAGGCATATCACCGAGAGATGCTGGTGCACGTTCTATAAGTATGAGATTGTTGGAAACCTTTTTAGTTGGAGATTCAACATCTTCAGGAACAACGGTTATATATAGAGAATTATCCAAAAGGCATCTTTCACCTTTATTTTCAATTTTTTCAAGAATTTCATTTTCTTGTGACACAACACTTGAAACTGATTGTGTCATTTGCAAAGTTTCTTCTATTTGCTGTATATCGTGTGAAATACTTTCGGGAGGTTTGATATCGCGAGATTTTTCTAGAGATAGTTCCAAGGATTCAACTGGAGAACTCACAACTTCATCATATCCATCTTGCTGTTCTACCGCCGGATAAAAGTCGGAACATGTATCGATTTCGTTATCCATGTTTTGTGATTCAATGCATTGTTGTGACGACGCTGAAGCAAGTAAAGTTTCTTGAGTACAATTATTTTTGGCGAACTCTGTTTCATCATCATATAAAATTTCTTGACATGAATCATTCTGACTAATCGTCGATGATTCAATTTCTTTTATAGAATCTATCACAGAAGATTCGTGTAAAATATCCATAGATTCAAATTTTTGTATATGATCAATGGATATACATTGTTGTGAACATTGTTCACTATCGGTTAAAGATATTGTAATCTTTTCATCCATTGAGGATGGTTCAACTTCATACTGAGTGTGCGCATTAGATGACCAGGATCGAGTCCACGACGTAACATTATCTGATATGTATTGATCTATTGAATATAATTGTGAATCACCAGGGTTTATAGTAGGAAATAGAGAGTTAGATACAAATTTTTTACGATTTATATCTGGATTCGTTTC